CCAGTGCCTGGTCCTGGAGGACCAATACCTAGTGGAATGCAGGGTCCCAGTCCAATTAACATGGGAGTGGTTGTCCCCCAGGGATCCAGACAGGTCCCAGTCATGCAGGGAACAGGCATGCAAGGAGCGAGTTTACAGGGAGAAGGCCAGTCTGGTGGCTTTAGTCCTAGGCAGAACCAAGTCACTCCACAGGATCATGAGAAGGCTGCTTTGATTATGCAGGTTCTACAACTGACTGCAGACCAGATTGCCATGTTGCCTCTAAGGCAGAGTATCCTGATTTTAAAGAAACAAATACAGAAATCCACTGGAGTACCTTGATAGGTTTTCAAAAATACCTGATGAGAAATCTGGAAATTAATTGTATAATTTTGTTGAAATATTGAAAAAAGATGACCTGCATCTTAATCATTGAATGACTCAAATCAGTGCCAGGTGGAGGACTCCCATCACCTTCTCTCAGAACAAGACAATTCATTTTATTATCTTAGTTTGTATATTTACTGTGACTTGAAATAAACTTTGAACACACACACACGCACACAAATTATTTTACATCGTACATCTTTATAAGGTACATGTGATATTTCGATACATGCATAAAATGTGTAATCAAATCAAATTCAGGATGTCTATAACCTTAAACATTTATCATTTCTTTATGTTGGGAATATTCAGAAACCATTAAATGCTCTTGATCCTGGGCCAGGCCCTATGCTGACTGGTTAATCCATGTTCTTTCCATTAAACCTCACAGTCATTGAATTAGCTTTGTGATGCCTGATTTATAGCTGAAAAAAGAAATTTTTTGAAAAGGTAACTAACTTGCCAAAGGTCATACAACTAGTCATTGTTACAGTCAAGATTTAGGGTGGATTGGTTCTGATATCCAAAGCATTTTTATTACACTTTTTTTCCGTTTGTTTTGATAAAATACAAAGAAAACTGCAAATATAAGAGAACACCTAGATTTCCATCACCCCGAATTAGCAGCTGTTAATTATAGTATAGTATTTGTGGCTAGTGTCTTTTTTTCCCTTTAACCACGTTTCATTCATTCTTCCTGCTGATGGGTATGGTATATTTTCCTGTAGTCTCATTTTAAAAAATCATTATTTATACATAGCTGCTTCCAAAGGTTCATCATTTCTTTTTCTTTCTTTCTTTCTTTTTTTTTTAATATTTTTAATGTTTTTTAAATTATACTTTAAGTTCTGGGGTACATGTACAGATTGTGCAGGTTTGTTACATAGGTATATATGTGCCATGGTGGTTTGCTGTATCCATCCCCCTGCCGTCATCTACTTTAGGAATTTCTCCTAATGCTATCCCTCCCCTATCCCCCCCACCCTTTGCTATCCCTCCCCTAGACCCCCACCCCCTGAGAAGCTCTGGAGTCTTGCTGCTCTGTTGCCCAGGCTGAAGTGCAGAGGCAGGATCTCAGCTCACTGCCACCTCTGCCTCTCGGGCTTAAGCAGTTCTCCTGCCTCATTCTCCCGAGTAGCAGGGACTACAGGTGGTGCACCACCATGCCCGGCTGATTTTTGTGTTTTTAGTAGAGATGGGGTTTCACCATGTGGGCTGAGTTGGTCCTGAACTCCTAATGTCAGGTGATCGACCTGCCTTGGCCTCCCAAAGTGCTGGGATTATAGGCATGAGCCACCACACCTAGCTTGAGAGTCTTTTTTTTAGTAGACAAGTTTGCATTTATATTTACCTTTATTAACAGCACATTTAGATTTATTCCTGCCATCATCTTTTGGTTTTCTGTTTGCATGCATGCATGTTTTCCGCTTTTTCTTTTCTATTTTCCTACTTTACATTGAACAGACAGATAACTTACTTTTATTTCTCAATCAATTTTGAAGATATATGTTCTATATTTGTTCTTTCAGTGGTTACTGTGAAGCTTAATGTACATTCTCAAATGAACTTTTTAGCAAAATGTGAGGGTTTATGCATATCTGTTTGTTCCTTAAGAATGTTAGCATATTTTAATTTTCCTAGGAAACATCTTTTTGTAGCCATCATGTTATTTTTACCTAGTATTTTAGTTACATTTGTTAACCACATGAAAAATTTTTTTTACTCTTCTCTCCTTTTCTTTTTTACTATCTATACTTACTAGATTTTACTATTCGTTTAATATTCTTCCTTACCTTAATTTCTTGCATTCCAGTCCTTCCCCCAAGTTCATTTTTCCTCATATTAAAATACTTCCTTTGCTACTTCTTTCACCAAGAGCTTGTGGAGTTTATAACTCCTAGTCTGTTTGAAAGTGTCTTTATTTCACTGGAATGCTCTAAAATTCACCTATGAAATAGGTACAATATAAGCTGCCCACCTCCCACACAAGGTTGGTTATTGAAGGAAAATAAAATTTGTTGTAAACACTTTAGAAAGTGTTAGATAGACGTACGTGTGTGTGTGTGTGTGTGTGTGTGTGTGTGTTATTATCGGTAGCTAATATAAGTCTTGTTTGATTTCTGTTAGTGTTACTGCATCTTAAATGGATTATTCAAATTATTCCTTACTGTACTGAGATAATATTTACTGAAATAATAGAAAATAATAGCTAACAGAAATGTCATGAATTGTTTGTGGAAGCACTTTTGAAGAAAAGCAAGGATAAGGTGAAACTCGGGATCCTAACTGATAGCTAAGGGTCACAACCGTGTAGTGGAATTTTGAGTCATTTAAACCTAAATTCCAGATTTTTTGGCTTTTTATTTACAAAAGCAGTACACGAATAGTATGGAAAATCCAAATTATATAGAAAGAAAGAGAGAAGAGAAATAATCTTCCAGAAATCCTAGAGAATGTAAACCCATTGACATACAGGAACACGTCCTTCCAGACATCTCATCTTGCAGATGTTGCCACATGGATTTATAACACTTAACTTTTCATCTTTCAGAAGCAATCATATCACATAGGCAGTTTTGCAACTTCAGTTTTCACTTAGCAATATATCAAAGGACTATAGGTAAGCATCATTGCATATAATGAATAAAGATGCTATTGTAGGAATGTATCATAATTTTCTTTAAATAATTATTGATAGACATTAAATCAAATGTCTCTATATTATAAATAATATACAGTTTCCTGATTTTTAAAAAAATTAAATTGGTATGGATTTTGTATTGCAGATGTAAAACTTTGATAAATGCTTTTAAATTTCTCTCTGGAAAGTACATGTGAATGCCCACAGAAACACCCTTTCCCCTCATACTTCCTGTGTAGTGTCACTTAAAAAAAATGACCAGTTTGAGATTTCCGTCAGAATATCTATGTTTGTGAATTTGAACATCTTTTCTTATTTCATACCATCTGTATACTTCTCTTGAGAATTGCCTGGCCGTTAACATTCTCTTTTAGTGTTCACCCTTTTCTTAGTAATAAGTTGCATTCTTTCGGTTTTGGTTTTGAGACAAGGTCTTGCTCTGCCTCCTAAGCTGGAGTGCAGTGGTGCCATCAGGGCCCACTGCAGCTTTGACCTCCAGGACTCAAGTGGTCCTCTTGTTTTAGCCTTCCAAGTAGCTGGGACCATAGGCATATGCCACCATGCCCAGCTAAGAACTCATTTTTTATTGTGCTTAATTTTTTTGTCATAACTGTCTCCAGGATTTTTACCCTGGTTTTTTTTTTTTCCATCTTTCAACCTTGATTTGCATGTGTGCACGTGTGTGTGTGTGTGTGTGTGTGTGTGTGTGTGTGTTTTCAACCTTGTCAAATAATGTTTTGATTTTTTTAATTTGATCAAAATTTCCTTTGTGGTTTCTGGATTGTTTTCTTACTACAGTGGGGTCATTAAAAGGTCTTCCTCACTTCAAGATTATTAAAATGTTTATCCATATTTTCTTTTAATGTTTTTACAGGTTCATTTTTCTTTCCTCTGCATCTTTAATCCATGTGGAGTATTTTTTGGTATAAAGAGTGGTATGTCAGTGCCTCCCTCTCTCTCACTTCCTACTCTGGTTTTCAAACTTGACCAGTGAGAAAATTCAGGATATGAGCAGACGTACTCATGGCAGAAAGTGAGATGTACCTCAAATGTTTTTCACTTCATTAACGTCTCTTGAGTATTCACGAGTAGAGACAGAGGCTGAGAGGAAGGAAGTGGGTTGGGGAGCGGTAGCTAGCATTCACACGTCGGGCTTGTGTCTGTGAAGTGTGTGTGAAACAGAGAATTAGTTTTACTTTTTTTACTTTTTTTAGTGACCTGATTTACTTCTCAAGGAAAGTGGAACTGTGGTAGGGTGACATATAATACCAGTTGATGAGAGAATCTAGATACATGTTGTAATTCAAAAACATGCTGTTTTTGAATACCAAGTGCCCTCTCCCCATGATGAAGCCATGAACTCTCTGGACAAGCAGTTTGTTGTTTTTATTTTTATTTCCACATATGTTTCCCAGTTTAGAAAGGAATTGGGGATTGGGAGGTCTTTTTTTTTTTTTTCCTCTTTTACTTCTAATTCCCTGACTCATAAATAAATGCTATTAAATTTCTTAGAGATCTTTTTTTTTTTTTTTTTTGAGACAGAGTCTTGCTCTGTCACCCAGGCTGGAATGCAGTGGTGCGATCTCAGCTCACTGCAACCTCTGCCTCCTGGGTTCAAGTGATTCTCCTCCCTTAGCCTCCTGGGTAGCTGGGATTACAGGTGTGCGCCACCAGACCCAGCTAATTTTTTGTATTTTTAGTAGAGACGGGGTTTTACCATGTTGGTCAGGCTGGTCTCGAACTCCTGACCTTGTGATCTGCCCTCCTCAGCCTCCCAAAGTGCTAGAATTACAGGCGTGAGCCACCGCGCCCCACCTCTTATAGATCTTGTGGAATTTCTAAGCATTATTTTTACCTTAATTTTTAAAAATTGGTATATAATAGTTGTATGTATTTTGGGGGCATGTGTGATTTTGATACATATATACAATGTGTAATGAATGATCAAATCAGGGTAATCGGCGTATAACCTCAAACATTTCTCTTCTAGCAGTATTTCCCACAGCTGCATCCTGCTGAATGTTCCATTGGTGAAACTGAAGGTCTTCTTACTCAGAAGAAGAAAATCAAGAAGAAGGTAAGCAGTGGAAATATATTTATGGCTTTCAAATATACTTTTCTTCAAGTAGTAAAGATTATTTTTTCAGAATAATATGTTTTGACAGTAGGAATCATTTTAGAGACTACAAATAGGTTGGAAATGATGCCAAGGGTAGAGCCACAGCTGATGGTAACAGCTTCTATTTGTTGAATACCTAACATAGGCCTTTGCATATATTATCACTAATTTGCACTCTATTAATATCTTCAATATAGAGACAGGAAACTGAGGCTTCAAGAGATGCATAACATACACATTCATCCTGGTTGGTAAAGGACAGAGCTGAAGCATGGACTTCGGTATCTGGCTTTGGAGCCACCTGTGTTGTAGGTGACCTAAAGTCTGTTCTGGCTAGTTCTTTAGAGTCCGTTTTCCTCACTTTCAGACTAAATAGTTTCTCCTCTTTTTGCTGCTGCTTTATTTTATTCATGGGTCCATAAGTGATGGACATCATAACCATTCTCACATTTAGAAACCATGGCTTATAGAATGTGTAAAAAATAACTTTTATAATAAGATTTGCCATCTTAAGTTCTTCCCATTGTTGAAGAGTAGTAGAGCCTCCATCATCCATATGCAGTTATAAATGGCACCCCTTACAACACTTTCCTTCTGTTTTTCCAAAATCTGTTAAAATATGCTGATTTCTTAGAATGAGACATTTGTTGTAATAAATGTATAAGTTGTAAATGGTGCCCTCAAGGGTTGTGCAGTGCCCAGTAGCCAGGTGAGGAGAAAACATATAAAGGCAGTATTAATTACTTTCCTAATTCTTGCTCTCAAACTATTCAATTTCAGGTTTTTTTGTGGGGTGGAGGATTGGCAGTGTATGGCTAGTAAAGAGGATATGAGAGGATAGGAGGTGGATGGACAAATCTGTATTTTATTCATTTACAAATGGAGATAGCATATGAAAGCGTCAGTGTCCATTGCACTCCAAAGTGTCTTGCACTTTGATTCCTGAGAGAAAAATTGTCTTTGTCAGCAAGTCATAGAATGTAAGTTGAGAGGCAAGACACATAGACATGGAACTGAATGGGAGAGAGTTTGCTGAAACATTAAATTGCATTGTGTGGGTTTAAAATACAGAAAGCATTACATATAGAAAAGATCATTGTAATCAGGGCAGGTAAGAGACGACCAGATGAAGAGGACAAGGGGCCTTAAAATCCTGTTATTTTCATATGTAGTAAGAGACAGAAGAGCTGTATGTCCAAAGACCCTAAAGTAGACCCAGGGTAGAACCCTTGGTAGACCAGCCTTCACAGTGTCCATCCTTCATAGTGAATTTCAGCTTCCCAAGAACCCTCCCCCATGTAATTATGGGTGAAAGGGCACCTGCCAGCAGCCTCCTCCACCCTTCCTCATGCTGTTGATCTGTCCCTTATGCTAAAGTTCCTTAGCATTAGATGTAAACAATGTGTACTGTACTGTGGAGCCATGTTTACACACTGCCTTGGGAGTTCTTCTGTCTCTTGTCTCCTGTTTCCTTTGGTCTCCTTAGCGCCTGGTCTTTGGAAGTAGAAGATGTCCAGTAAACACACATACATGAATGCCCTTAGACCGAAGTCTATGCTCATGGTGCAAGGAAAACCCTGTGGGATCCTGAATTGTAAACCACCCTCTGCCTTGAGCTCTGGAGCAGAGCTGAGGCCTTGCTATCACTCCACAGTCTGAATGTTCTGTGCCTCCATTTGTCTCAGCTGGAGCTTCTGTGTAAAAGCAAGTGTTCTAGAGGTTTCCATTCCATGATTCTGATTGGGTGTGCAATTTCTGAAGAAGTTGGAATGGGAAATGTGAAAACTCGGTACTAAGGACAGGCCTTTGATTTAAACAGTTGTTATCTGGACTGAGCATTGAGTTTAACCAATGAGGTAAAAAGAGGGGAGAAATGGTGTTTGGGCAAGTAAAAGTTATTTCATAGTTAGTGTTTGAAAACTCAAGAGAGATTATCCTATTTGTGTCTGGAGGACTCACCTTTCAGGTGAAGAATCTCTACCTTACATCAGCAGTCACTAAGAATAGAATAATGATCACTGTAGGATTTTTCTTATCCAGATTTGCTAGAATCCATATGAGAACACACAGCTGAGAAAGACCCTTCATTTATTTGGGCATGTGGCTAGTAATAGCCCCTTCAATCCCCGCAGTAATATCCACAATTAGTATGGTGTGGTGTGGTGTGGTGTAGTATAGTGCAGTGTAGTATATATATAGTATAGTAATATCCCCAATTAAATCCTTCTTTTTTATAGTTGTAAAGAGGAGATACATTTTATTTGTTTTTATGGTAGACTTATTTTTTAACCCACCATTATCCATCTCTTTCTGTCCCTCCAGGCACCTAGGATATAATTTATTTCATGGTAAATAGTTATTTATGTAGAGTAGGATAACTCTACTCCAAAATAATCAAAAGATATATTTTAACCTTGGTCTTGATGTAAGAAACTAAAATACATTTTTGGTTATTGGCATCTATTTCCTTATAGTTAAATGAAGTAGATTCAAGTCAGGATTTTTGTTTTACTGAGATTTTGTTCTCCTACTCTTTCTCCTTGAGTAGATAGTCAGATATCTTTTGACAATGTGCTTTGTGTGTGGAATATTAACCCAATCTATGATAACTCTTCCAGAACCTTTGGCTTGCTGCTTCTGAGCTGCTGTGGATGGCCCCAGCTCTCTGGACTGTCCTTCCGAGTAGGATGTCACTGAGATCCCTCAAATGGAGCCTCCTGCTGCTGTCACTCCTGAGTTTCCTCGTGGTGTGGTACCTCAGCCTTCCCCACTATAATGTGATAGAACGCGTGAACTGGATGTACTTCTATGAGTACGAGCCGATATACAGACAAGACTTTCGCTTCACACTTCGAGAGCATTCAAACTGCTCTCATCAAAATCCATTTCTGGTCATTCTGGTGACCTCCCACCCCTCAGATGTGAAAGCCAGGCAGGCCATTAGAGTTACTTGGGGTGAAAAAAAGTCCTGGTGGGGATATGAAGTTCTTACATTTTTCTTATTAGGCCAAGAGGCTGAAAAGGAAGACAAAACATTGGCATTGTCTTTAGAGGATGAACACCTTCTTTATGGTGACATAATCCGACAAGATTTTTTAGACACATATAATAACCTGACCTTGAAAACCATTATGGCATTCAGGTGGGTAACTGAGTTTTGCCCCAATGCCAAGTATGTCATGAAGACAGACACTGATGTTTTCATCAATACTGGCAATTTAGTGAAGTATCTTTTAAACTTAAACCACTCAGAGAAGTTTTTCACAGGTTATCCTCTAATTGATAATTATTCCTATAGAGGATTTTACCAAAAAACCCATATTTCATACCAGGAGTATCCTTTTAAGGTGTTCCCTCCATACTGCAGTGGGTTGGGTTATATAATGTCCAGAGATTTGGTGCCAAGGATCTATGAAATGATGGGTCACGTAAAACCCATCAAGTTTGAAGATGTTTATGTCGGGATCTGTTTGAATTTATTAGAAGTAAACATTCATATTCCAGAAGACACAAATCTTTTCTTTCTATATAGAATCCATTTGGATGTCTGTCAACTCAGACGTGTGATTGCAGCCCACGGCTTTTCTTCCAAGGAGATCATCACTTTTTGGCAGGTCATGCTAAGGAACACCACATGCCATTATTAACTTCACGTTCTACAAAAAGCCTAGAATGACAGGGTACTTTGTGGAAAGTGTTAAAGTCGATACTGTGGAAAATTCATGGAGAGATCGGTGTGCTGGCTTACACTGAACTGAAACTCATGAAGAACCCATAGACTAGAGACGAGGGTTACACTTGTGATTTATTAGTCAGGCCCTTTAAAGATGATATTTGGAGGAATTAAATATCTTAAAGGAATTGGAGGTTTTTTCCTAAAGAAATTAATAGGACCAAACAATTTGAACATGTCATTCTATAGACTAGAATTTCTTAAAAGGGTGTCACTGAATTATAAGGTCACTAGGCTATAAAAACAAAACAATGTGGAGTTTTATTTATTGAACAATCTAGACACTTGAAAGTTTTGTGTGTATCTTATGTGGATTACCAGTTTAACAATATACGTATTTCTGTGTCAAAAAACTTCTTCACTGAAGTTGTACTGAACAAAATCTTACCTATTTTTGGTCATTTAGAAGGTACTTCAAGATGTTGCAGTATTTCAGAGTTATTTAATATTCAAACTTTGTGTTTTAAATGTTTTGACGATTTCAGGACAATATAAATAGGATAGTGAATGATTATTTACATTTGAACATGTTCCAGTTACTTAAATGATCAGTTTATTATTGATACCTCCATTAATGTAAAGTTGTAGGTCATTATTGCATATCAGTAATCTCTTGGCCTTTGTTAAATATTTTACTGTGGTAATATAGAGAAGAATTAAAGCAAGAAAATCTGAATTATTGTCTTGTTTTTAAAAATATAGTCCCTAGTATTTTTAGAAGTCACTTAATCTTTCTCATTTTTCCACCTGGAAATGTATAATGCAGGCAGTAATTTTCTATTGGAAAGAACTCTGAAGGCAGAAAAGAAGGGAGAGAACCTCATGGGCGGAATATTATAAAAAGAGTGTCATATTCCAGCATTTGAGTTGGAAAGAGAAGATTGAAGATCTAAGTTACATTATTATTATTATTATTTTTTATTTTTTGGGGGGGGACGGAGTTTCGCTCTCGTTACCCAGGCTGGAGTGCAATGGCGCTATCTCGCTCACCGCAACCTCCGCCTCCTGGGTTCAGGCAATTCTCCTGCCTCAGCTTCCTGAGTAGCTGGGATTACAGGCACACGCCACCATGCCCAGCTAATGTTTTGTATTTTTTTAGTAGAGATGGGGTTTCACCGTGTTGACCAGGATGGTCTCGATCTCTTGACCTCGTGATCCACCCGCCTCGGCCTCCCAAAGTGCTGGGATTACAGGCGTGAGCCACCGCGCCCGGCCCTAAGTTACATTATTAATCTGCCCTGTGTTTTTTTCTCTTGAACAGTTTGTGAATAAATAAGAAGCTGCCGCTGCTATTAATTTCTCATCAACATAAAAGCCCTAATGTGTAAAGTCATATCTGATTTAATCTCATGCTTTTATAGAAGGGCATTTCTTCATAGAAGTGGTGATATATATATTTTTTGTTGGACTTGCTAATAGTAGGTCCAAGAGGAGCAGTCCTTGCCCCCTATTCTTGGGATTACGCAGTTTTCTTTTAGAGTTTATGTAGGGCAGGTGGTTCTTTTTTCTCTGAATTACAGGATGGAAAAAGATCATATCCTTTGTCAGGAAATATAAACTTGAAAGTATGTAGTCAGCTCTTGTAATACTCAGATATTTATAATTGTCTTTCATGAAAAAGAACTTCAGTTAAAACTATAATGTGTGGTTCTCTATAACAAGGCTATTTCTGTTTCCCAGGGCTCTGACCTAATCCAGTTATAAAAATCAATTAAATGAAATATTCTGTGGAATCAATCTATGCCCTTGTTAATCTCCATCCATATAGGAATCACTTTCTTTAAGACAGATGGTGGTAGTTATTTTTGTGACATGATTAGATTTGACTGGTTTTGCAGAAGATTACAGTCATGTACTGCATAATGACATATACAATAGTGGTCCCATAAAATTATAATGGAGCAGAAAATCTGTTGCCTCATGGTGTTATAGCCGTCGTAATGTCATAGCCCAGTGCATTACTCATGTCTGTGGTGATGCTGGCATAAACAAGCCTACTGCATTGCCAGTTGTGTAAAAATACAGCACATTCGGTTATGTACAGTATGTAATACTTGATAATAAATGACACTGGTTTGTGTATTTACTTTTTATCATTATTTTAGAGTGTGGTCTTCCTACTTATTGAAAAAAAAAATGGTTAACTCTAATACAGTCGTGGGCTGGTCCTTCAGGAGTTATTCCAGAAGAAAGCATTGCTGTCATAGGTGACAGCTCCATTCATGCCATTTCTCCTGAAGACCATCCAGTGGGACAAGATGTGGCAATAGAAGACAGTGAAACTGATGATCCTGATCCTGTGGGGCTAGGCTAATGTGTGTATTTGTGTCTTTGTTTTTTACAAAGTTTAAAAAGTTAAAAATTAAAATTTAAAAGTAGAAAAAAGCTTATAGAATAAGGATATAAAGAAAATATTTTTGTACAGTTTACATGTTTGTGTTTTAAATTTAAGCTAATTGTTATTACAGAAGAGTCAAAGTTTAAGTTTGTAAAGTAAAAAAGCTATGGTGAGCTAAGGTTAATTATTGAAGAAAGAAATTTTTTAAATGGATTTAGTGTGGCCCACTTTAAGTGTGCAGTGTTTGTGAAATCTACAGCAGTGCACAGTCATGTCCAAGGCCTTTCCATTCACCCGCCACTCACTCAGTGACTCACACAGAGCAGTTCCACCCCTGCACACTCTATTCCTGATGAGTGCCCTCCTTATACAGGTGTACGATTTTTCAGCTTTTATACTGTTTGTTGTTGTTGTTGTTTTTTTACTGTGTGTCAGTCTATTTTAGATACACAAATACCATTGTGTGACAGTTTCCAACAGTAAGTATTCAGCACAGTAACATGCTGTAGACATTTGTAGCCTAGAAACAATAGGCTCTACCATCTAAGTTTGTGTCAGTACATTCTGTAATGTTTGTACAACTACAAAATCACCTGACATATTTCTCAGAAGATATCTCCATTGCTAAGTGCAACATTTCTGTATATCGATGTTTGGGAAGCTAACTCAAAACATTTCTAGAGAGAACTTTTAACATAAAAAATAATTTCACTTTTAGAAAAGACCAGAAAAAAAAAACCCAAACATGTAAAATATGAATAATTGCCAAGTTTCGAAAGATTGTTTCTTCTGAACTGGAGATTGGTGCCTTAAAGAACCTAAAAAGTTAAATGATTAGGAAAACATTAAGAGATTGAGTAGTTATATATTTTTTTGTTTTTAACTTTATATTTCTTAATAAGCTTCTGGGAAGTAAATATTAGCTGTGTTTTTAAAATCATGACGTGGTGTTTGACCAAATCAGCAGTTTTAAAAATGTTAACTCATATAACAGTGTTTACTACTGGGGCTTACCCTTGGGCTGATTCTATGGCATCTGCCTTAGTCCTGCCATCCCCATAGTTTCACACACCCCCTGCCTCATTTGCTTTCCTTGTCTGCAGGTGTTTAGTTGGTGACTTTTAGCACATTAGTTAGCTCTGCTGAGGGTCACAAATGCTACAGTAACGCCCAAATCTCAGAACCTGATGGCAGCCATGTTTTCACTCACATTGCATGGCAGTGTTTGGCTGCACCCCTGCTCCATGTGTCTCTTTCATTCCAGGATCCAGGCTAATGGGCAGCCCCTATCTGGAACATGCTGTTCTTACAGAAGGAATAGAAAAGCTGGTGGAAGCACAGTGGCATATATTAATATATCCACTGGCTGAGACGAATCCCTTGCCAAGGCCAGTGTCACCAAGGTAGGGAAGTATCCGTCTGTTGTAGGAAGTGACTAAGTAACTGCAAGTGATGTTGCAGTGTGCAGGGATGTATTGTTCCGCAGAATGGGATGTGAAAGTTGAGTGCAATAGTACCATAATCTGCCACACTCTGTGTTTCAAAGGGAGAGGGAGCTCAGGGGTCTGCGGTCCTGAGGCAGGCTCAAGTAGTTAAGACTTTTTTCTGACTCACTTGGTATTGCTGCTTTGGGCTTTTCACCCTTCCCTGAGAGGGTTGCCCCTTCACCCTGCTTCATCTTTCCTTAGCTCTATCCTAAATGGTAATGACATTAACATGTTCCCATCAACTCTCTGGCTGCAGAGTAGCCAGAATGGAGCTATTTATAACAAAGAGTATTCCTGAGCATGAGCTGGGGACAAAGTCCATTTCCTTAGGGTCTAGTAGTCCCTTGTTGCAAGATAAAGGGAAAGAGAGATAGGAAGGAGGCAAGCTTTGAAGCGGAAGAAGGGGGAGTATATGGGGTTCTTATATTTTGTATTCCATTAGGAACCAATCTCCCATATACTAATTAAACCAACTCCTCTGGATTTTTTGTGAGCTGAAGACTCATTGGCACTTCACACTCTCCATCAGCTCCCTGATTTGTGGTTAATATGGGAGCAGACCTTCAAGAAGTCCATCAAAATAGGTGGCTTATGTTGATATGGTTGTACTGATAGGAGATGGAAGCCAATGGGCAAACGGGGTTGACTGGGCAGTCCCTTGACAGAATTTATACCCAAGTCATCTCCTGGGCCTCTTAAGAAAAAAGAAAGGTCCAGCAAAGATGAGCATCATCATCCTGTATTTAGGGCGAGTGAGAGAGGCATAAAACCTGCATGTGGATAGTTTTTAAGTCCTGTGGTCAAGACAGGCAGAAGTAGTCATAGATTGGAGCTGGGAAAGACCTCAGAAATCATCTTTCCTCTGATTCCAGGCTTCTCTGTGACGATGAAAGGGTTAAAGGGGTTTATGCACAGTTTTCAATATTCCAAAAGCTAAGTGAAATCTATATATTGACCTAAGATAAGGTTGTCCAAGCCAAGGAAAATGTTTCTAATGCCCCAGAATTTAATCACCTGACAGGCCATGATCAGCTTACTCCAAAAAAAAAAAAAGCTTAATTGTGGGCTAATTTTGTCTGATTAATGGAGAAACTAAGCTGTAATTTAGTGAAGTGCAGAGTCATAGGTTCACTGAGGAGGGAGAAGGGAAGTAGAAGGGATCTTTGCAAGAAAAGGCTTGGGAACTCTGTTATTTTCTATGAGGGCACCAAGGTCATTGGGGCCATTAACTTACCCACGGTCATTGTGAAGCCAGGACTAGAATATTCCAGGCTCAAACCCACTGCTCTGTGTTAGGGTGCCCCTGTGTTAGTTTGGAGCACCTCAAGAGGAACTCCTTTCCTCAGTGGAATTGTAAAACTTCCAGGGGGGATTACTCTCGACTCAGGGCTTAGAGGAACTTTCAGGTGCCAGGCTGCAGTCTCCAAACGATTAGAGGAAAGTTGTGGCCACCAGATGTCTTGGGGGAGTCCCAGGAACAAACCACAGTGAAAAACACCAGTGGACAGCAGTGGCTTAAGCCCAAGGCAGTGCTGACTCTAGTGGGCAGGTGCTGGCCTAGCAGTAGTTTCCTTGTATGACAAGGTTCTGCCGCCAGGCCTCAGTAGAACACGGGGTCTTTGGTGACATCAAGAGCTTGCTGCATGTCCATTTTAAAATGAGGTGTGTCCTCAGTACATGTGACTATGGAAATAGGGGTTAGATGTTTCTGGAAGGCAATTTGGCAGTTTGCCTTTCCAGTACTCTTTGACTCAGAAATTCTGCTAGATATCATTCCTAAGAAATTGATCAGAAATGTTCATTGCAGTGTTACGTTTTTTTTTTTTTTTTTTTTTTTTTTTTTTGAGACAGAGTCTTGCTCTGTTGCCCAGGCTGGAGTGCAATGGTGCGACCTTGGCTCACTTCAACCTCCACCTCCCGGGTTCAAGTGATTCTTCTGCCGCAGCCTCCCGAGTAGCTGGGATTATAGGTGGTCACCAATATGCCCAGCTAATTTTTGTATTTTTAGTAGAGATGGGGGTTTCACCATGTTGGCCACGCTGGTCTTGAACTCCCGACCTCAGGTGATCCACCCGCCTCGGCCTCCCAATGTGCTGGGATTTCAGGTGTGAGCCACCATGCCCAGCCTGCAGTGTTACCTGGAAACCATCATTCTCAGCAAACTGACAGAAGAGCAGAAGATCAAACACCACATGTTCTCACTCATAGGCGGGTGTTGAACAATGAGAACACATGGACACAGGGAGGGGAGCACTACTCACTGGGGTCAGTTGGGGGGAAATAGGGGAGGGACAGTGAGGGGTGGGGAGCTGGGGAGAGATAGCAAGGGGAGAAATGCCAGATGTAGGTGATGGGGAGGAAGGCAGCAAATCACACTGCCACGTGTGTACCTATGCAACAATTTGGCATGTTCTCCACATGTACCCCAAAACCTAAAATGCAATAAAATAAATAAATGGGGGGGGGGAAGTTCAGCATTAAGAGAATATTAATTTCAGTGACTTCATAAGTTTGACTGCAATACAGTCATTAAAAATGTTTACAAAGATTTGTTAGGATCCAAAATCAATGTAAAATAAGTTGAGGGGTGTATGTGTGTATAATGTAATATGAACTGTGCATGCCCAGATACCTCCAAATATTTGATTCTTCCTTCTGTAAATACCCAAATAGAATTGTTTGCATCCCCATGTACTATACTGTGGGGAGTCCACCTTGCCGTGCTGTGAAGATTCCAGGGGTCTACCTGGCTTCTGATTCTCCTGAGTCAGTCCGTGCCACAGCCTGCCTTTCCACTGTCACGCCCTCTCCTGGCTGTGGCCCCTGATGCTCGTGGCTGTGAAATCTCTTCCCATACTCTCATGAATGATGCCACCCACCTTTTTCTTTTTTCCTCCAAAAGCTTCACTAACACGTTACTGTGAATTTTAGAATTTCACTTAGTTTGAGAGTAGTAAAGGATTATCACTACTAGGGAGGTGTGAAGGTCTTCAGATTCACTCTCTGATGTGAATCTAATTTACTTCACTGCTCCTAGGAACTTGGCAGCTGTTTCCTGTGGTAATGGTCTTGAAAAATAGTCCCTCATGGATATATCATGTGCCCTTGTGTAGCTCCCACCTATGCTGACTCTAGGCAAGCTCCTCGTAACCACCTGAATGTGACAGAAGAGATGGTGCTGCATGACTTCCAAGGCCAGATCAAATAAGCCTTGCAGTTTCCACCTTGTTCTTTTGGAACGAATGCATCTATACTGCCCTGAGAAAAGGGAGAGGAGCGGGGGAGAGGACAGAAGAGGGGAGAGGAGAGGAAATCCTGCCAAGCCAGGTGAGGCACCAGGCGTGTAAGTGAATAATTCATTTTGGAGCTGTCAGACAATGCCAGACAACTCTGCAAGAGACCCCAATTTAGGACCTCCCTGTAAACCTGCAGAGACATAAGAAATAAATTTTGCCTAATGCTACCAACTTCGGGGGCGGTTATGATAATTAAAACATTTGTTACCAGGGAAATTTCCCATGGTCTGTGGCCCCGGGGCCAAGCCTTCTCTCCCCACATCTGGCCCCTCCCCCATCGATGCCGGGACTTACCCCTGCTTGAGGTTATCAACGAGCAATTTCCCAAACTCCTTTTCACTTAGCCCTCTTTCTGTTTCACTTTCTCCTTTAAGACCACGTGGGAAGCAAGGTAGAGGTGAATGCTACTTACATTTCTCCTGGATAAAAAAAAAAGCCCATTCAAGGCATTTCCCAGATAAAAGGAAATCAACTTCTCTAAAGATAAATGTTGCCATTCTCTTAAAAGGTTGCAGCAGCTGCAGTGACAGTTCTAAATGCCACTCTTTCCCCTTCTTGCTACGTATGTACAAACTGTACAGAAACAGGCAGGATGAAAATATAACAAAACGTTAACAGAAAATGCCTCTCAAGGATTTCTTCCTACCTTAAAAGTACCTTTTATTATTTCATTCTCAACAAAATCATTTTTATAACACAGATATTTTAACAAATATATTAACAAATTTAGGTAAAGGCAGAAAGTGGCATCGAAGTGTCACGAGCAAAGGCTGCTGGGGTGCAGGCCAAATGCTGTGTTTGCTGCCGAGCCCCAGCCTCACGTGCCCACCCTCCCGCTTTCTTCTGTGCAGGCAGGGGCTGCCTCCCATCTCAGTCACTTCTGTTGTCTGAGATAGGGTCCCGCGCCTTCGCTCAGACTGGAATACAGTGGCACGATCATAGCTTACTACAGCCTTGAACTTTTGGGCCCAAGTGATCCTTGCACCTCGCACCCCCCAAGAAGCTGGGACTACAGGCATGTGCCACCATACCTGGCTAATTTTTCAAAACCTTTTTGTAGAGATGGGACTCACTATGTTGCTCAGGCTGCTACCGCTGTCTTTACTAGCCCTTCTTGCTCCTCATGCTTTGGCATGTGAACCAATCCCAGCCAGTGGGCCCCCAGGTGATATCTGCTGAGAGGCTTCTGTGGATGTACCTAATAAAAAAAAGACAAAGGAGAAAGTCTCCTTTTCTTTGGCCAGATGTTATGTCTGCAATGCTAGTATCTGAAGCAACCATGTGGATCCCATGAGAACAGCCTGAAGGCCAAGTCAGTGGCTGAGGTAGAGAGGCTGGCTCTTGATGACATCATTGAATCACTGAACCAACCCTGTGACCACAGACTTCTTCCCCCTGCATATATAAGTTAACCACTATGTGTTGTCTGTTACAGTGGAGGGCATCCAAATTGTAGGAACATAAGAAACAGTTTTCCTCTCCCTGAGAGTCTAGGCCAGTGATGAGTGGGGCTGATGTGAAGAGATAAGTCAAACCCAATTTCTTATGGGGCAGACAGAAAGCAGCTGGTCTGTGACATGGGAGCTCCATGTTCTGGGATGCATCTTGCTGGAGAATGGAGCCCAGCCTGAGTGAGCAGCCCACACTGATGGATTGGGGATAGAGGAAATAAAAAATGCCTTTTCTTCCTTGCTCCTCAGTAAGTGGTTGCCTTCCATTTCAGGCAGCAGAGTCTGAGTTCCCATCTGCTGGGAACACAGAAAGGGGCATAGCAATATAGTTACAAACCTGAAGAGTCTGTACATCTCTCACTAATCAAGCCAACACAGTGTGGAGCCAGGTCTTCCTATTTGGATGAAAAAGAGCGGACAGGGTCACATTTGCTTGCCTTTTACTGCTCACTCATTGAATAGCATCAGGAAAGGTTTACTTCATGAACCTGGCACAAAGTAGGTTCCGTGCCTGATGTTAACATTCACTCTGCCCTCTTCACAAATGAAAAGGTGGAAAATTTCTGACTTCTGGTAAATTCACATTGAAATGACTGTTTCTTGGGACACAGATCCTGCAGTTCTTCCATCTCTCCAGGCTGCTGTGATTATTTTTTAAAGTTTTTCACGGTGTAAGGAGAAGAACTGTTGAAAAGCTGTAAGTAGAGGTTATTTTGGTGTTCAGAAATCAAGTGATAGTCAACTCTATCTCATAGCTTAATGAATGGTAGGATTGGGAGAGAAATTTACTTTTGAATTGAATCCCTTTTTATATGTACCTTTAAAAACTTGCACATTGATTTTTTCTCCTCTAGTGAACCTTAGCATATAAACAAGGTAATTTTTTAAAAAAGCATTTTATATGTAGAGATGAGCTTTTATATTTCTCAGACTTAAATTTGAAAGCAGAGTAGGCAATTGTTTTGCCTGCTTAACAATCTCCTTTTCTTTCCTTTTTTTTTTAAGGAGATTTTATTCTTTTTAAGAGACTGAGTCCACTATATTGACCAGGCTGGTCTCAAACTCCTGAGCTCAAGTGGTCCTCCTACCTTGGCCTCCCAAAATGTAAGTATTACTGGCAAGAGCCACTATGTCTAGCCCCAACCTTTTCTAGAAAATTCTGAGAATTGTCTAATCTACAAACTCCATCTACATAGTTAGTGCAAGTCACCACTACAATATGGCCCAAGCTATGAGTCCAAACCCCTCTTCAGATCATAGAATCCTGGAGAGAGTTTTCCTCTTTCATTCTGTCTCCCTACCGTATTTCTTCTGCCATCTTGTGAAAACCTTTGCAGATGGATCTTCTGTTCTGAACACTTTTCTCCGAGGTGTGTCATGCTTTGTTGCTGGAGTCTACATCTATGTATAGCTAATCTAACCCTTGTTACCTGATAGTAATTACTATATCAACTTTGTCGACGTGTTACTATAAAGGTGGGTATAAGTTGTGTTAGGTTTACAATAAACATTTTTTGTTGCATACATTGTATACATGTTTATCAATTGCCTTCTTCTGAACCAGAGCCAGGCTTATTCCCCTTCCAAGTGAAAGCACCAGAGTCTCAATACCTCCTGCCTCTTGCTTCTATTATGCTTTGGTCTTATGCTCTACCCATGAATTGTTTCTTTGCTTTCCACATAGAACCCCAACTCAAGTTACTCCAACTCAAAAGCATAGATAAATTATAAAATTCAAGAACAGACATTAGGATGGAAAATGAGTTTAACTTAAAGAAAAGAATAGCAGCAGTCTCATGTTTAAAGTCTAACAATTTTATGGGTTTATTTTTGCTTTAAATCTTGTCACCATGAGTAAATTTTTAGCTGTTCATTTTTATACAATGAAACAGGATCAGAGAGAGCATGAACACATTAGTCTCTACAAGGCTAATTCTACCCCAACACCCATCAAAGCAACCCAAATGACACGCCATGCATCTTGAGTGACCGTGCACTGCCACATACTCTGAGCTCTACTACAGGTAATGCTACACCAAATTGACATTGTAACTGTTTCAAATGTCTCTTAGAGACAAATATAGAACAGTAGGTATAATAACCTCTGAAAACTTCCAGGAGTAATGAGGTTTTGCCAAGGCTTGTTGTATTTTTCATGGATAGTTGTCAGGAAATAACTTACCAGAAAGCCCAATTGATTTGACAGTCATTTTGACCTGTGATTTATTTATTAAATACAATTTGAAGATTCCTAAAAGAAAAATTGCTAATAAATCATAGATCCTGTATCTTTTTATAAACAATCCCTTGTGATTTTTGAAGTTGCAAGAAAATGCTGACAAAAATTTTTATGATGTTGAAATAGGTATAAATAAAAGCTTATACAAAGCCACTGTCTCAACATCAGCAGGATAAGAGATAAGAACTTCTGAGATATTATACTGTTCCCCCAAAAAACACTACTGTTTTTTTTCCTTCCCCTTTCTCTCTCGCCACCCTGTCCTTTCCTCCTTTCTATCCTTAATAACTGAGCTCCTCCTACGGTTTTAATGTTACTAAATCAGAAACTGGCTTTGTTTCATTTGAATTTCCTTTTATATGTTCTCATGATTGAAAACAAAAGAATAAAAACCCTACTTCTGATCACAATGAGATCTTTACCATCACTAAGCATTTACTCTCTAGTATATGAAATATATGAATTATTCTAATTCAATAGGATTCTAAGGCAATTTGGCAATAGCTAGTATTAATTTGGATTTAAAAAAGCCGTTGGTATAAACAGAAAGAGATGTGTAGGGGAAATAAGCAGGCAGGCAAATAATTTAGAAAGAAGAGACAGCTTCTGTGGTTAAAAATAAAAGTCTGGGATTTAGTTTTTCTTTGCCATACAGAAAACAGATGTTGCTATTTTTGTTCAAAATAAAAAACTTAAATTCCATGATTAGACTCTGGAATATGTAAAGTAACTATGGATACCAAATTTATGATTTAAAAAATCTGACATTTAGTTTTCTGTTCATATTTGAAATCAGGAAATAATCGTGCTCCTGAAATGCCAACTTTCTATATAACAAATTCACTGATTTATACACTCAGGAACACTGAAGATACTCTCAGTCCTGGCCTGTCTTTGGAGGCATAAGGTTGTTACACTATATAGTCTGTTGTGAACAAAAATAAAAATAGGACATTGAGAGATGTTTTTGCTCTTCCCATTTCTCCTTTTCTATAATTCTCTTCTTCCCCCCAGAAAGATCCTGAAGGGAGAGACAACCTGGCTTTCACCCTCCACTGGGACAGTACTACCCCCGTCTTGGTCCCCAGAGGCTTCATGACTCACTTCCCATGCCATCCTTGAGAAACTAGATGAGCTAGTAAAATGGAGTAATTATCTACTGAAGTTTGCTTCAGTGTGGGCAAGAAACTCCCAATCTCTTATCACCTACTATTATATGTAAGAAATAATTATTCTAATTCTGCCCTGTCCAAACAAATGTAAGCCCATTGAAACAAATCATGAAAGATAACAATTTTCATCCCATTTAGTCAATATGGAGTGTTATAATATCTCTGTTATAATATCCCCACTAGGCTGTAAGCCCCAAAAGGGCAGTGATTGCACCTGAGTGCTCACCAACGGATACATTCAATCAGACACAGCCATTGCCTGGCACATAGTTAGATGCTCTCACACACAAAGAAATTAAGAAAGGAAAGAATAAAATATACAAGCACACTTACTTATAGCAATAATAGTGACTTTCCCAATGTAATCTGTTCATAAGATTGATCAATCTGTTATAAATGCAATGATGCTTTTATTTTTTAAGAAAAATCTCACACATTTTCCTTACACAAATATATATGTGAGCAGAGTTCACAATGGGGTCTTTCAGAATGAACTGTTCACCATTTTCCAGGATTGCCAGAATAATCATTCATTTGAACCCACTAAAATTTCTATTTGTTTCTCTTGTCTCTCTCTCTCTTTTTTTTTTTTCTCCTTTTTCTAGGCTGCCCATGAGAATGCTGAGACATTATCAAATATATTTCAATTCTATGACCTGAATTGCAGTTGTGTAAGTGCTATAAATCAAAATCATTTGCTTTAATAATTGAAGAGTAAACTGAAAGACAATACCGTAGATGTTAATGTTTCAATGTGAACATGTATTTCAGATAAATTAAAAAGAACAAACACTGCTTTCTAGAATAGAAGCAAAAGTTATGGGTTTTCTCCATGGTCATATTTTATTCATTATTCTACTTTCTGCACACTGTATATGCTTGAGATAAAACAATAATCAAAACAATAAATACATAAAGACTGTTTAGTTGCAGTCTAGGAGCCTAAATAAGAGCAGTATTCTTGCTTAATGACCCATGGTTCTAGCTTTTCCCCACGCAGCAGGATTTATACCTTTTCATTATTACACGAAGAAGTCACCATTTGTCCTAAGATATATTAAGACAAACGGGAATTTAAAACTTATACAAAAAACATCATTTTCTTGGGTTAGAGATGTCTAATACATCATTTCTACAGGATTATTTTTAAAAATTATATGAGCAACCTGACCTATTGCATTATATGGATTTAAAAACTCTCTTAAGAAGCAAGAATAGCAAATCACTCTGTGGTTTGTTTTTGTGAAATTGTCTGTTGTAAATTGAGTACTCACTAGTATTTCATGTTGGAATTTGCAAAATTACTAGTATGTTAAAACTCACTCTCAGTTGTAGCTATGACTGTGTTTATCTGATTTCAGTTTTATTTGTGCACTTTAAAATGGAAGGGGAACCATTTAGTTGATCTTAGTATCTATCAAAATTTTATAAAGGGGTATTTCCTCTGCAAAAGTTCTAAGGATTAAGGATAAAGTCATGTCCATGATTTGGAATGTGAACGAAACCTAGGACAGTAAAAGTGTTTAGGACAGCAATAGATGAGACCTCATTTATCCATCTTCATCAGAAAAAAATGGAATAGGGACAGCAATTTTACTACACAAGTAACTGAGAATGTTCATTTTCTCACTTCAGTGTTATCTCCCTAACTCCACTAAGAGCATTAAGTACAGAAAGCATAATTCCTGATGTAATAAACAATAACACATCCTTTTCCTAATTTAAAATATTTTCTTTTATATTATTCTCCCTTGATTTGGGCTTCTGTATTTTCTTAAAAATGCTTTCCTTTACATTCTAATTTTGACTACACTGGGAACTGATTTTACAGTTTTTTATTAAAAAGTGTTCCAAATCATTTTTTTAAAAAATATGTGATTCTGCCTGTTTAATCAATCCTACAAAAGGAAGCTTTAAAATTAAAATACTGTCTTAATTAACAAATAAGCAAAGCATTAACTAATACTCTAAGAGGGAAGCCTGTTTTTTGAATGATGAAAAGTGGTAATAACTTCCTTCACCTGATTTTTGTACAGGTGTCAGAAATTTCTAGTAAACACAACCTATATGGTAAAAATCTGATAATCCACATTTCTTATAAGCTACTTTTTACATTTTTAATGTCTGGGTATCCTAAAGGGGTTTTCCCCTGATACCTTACTATTATATCCACCTTTCATGAATTACCTAATTAATACAGAAATATTTTGAGATAATGCATGGTATTGTATTTAACTTATGAACTGCCTCATGACAAAAGGTGATGAGAGAATGTGTAGCTGACACAGTCCCTCTCCTGAAGTGGCAGCAATGTACCCAGGCAGGTTTTGTTCTGGGTCAGTCAACCCTCTGTCCACCACAGTCTGCTACCCATGCTTTCACTGCAATCTACTTGTGCTCAATGTCCTTGGAGGTTTTTGAGGTTAATTTGGATTTGGAAAATGTTAGGTGTGATTCTGTGGTTAAATAATGGCAGGTTATAGGACTTCTAGAATAAATGAAACCACATCTCTAAATATAATCTATACCTTTGCTGCATGCTTACTTTCTGGTAGAGCTTTGAACAGTGAAACTGTCTGTGATGATTTGTTAAAATGAATAGTTACTATCTGCTCTCCTCAAAGTCCTTAACTTGGATTTATTAAAGCAACTGTACATATGATACTGTGGTTATTACTAAACATATAAAAATTATCAATAATCAACACTAGCTTCTACAGTTTGCTGCTTAACAGTGGTACAACTAACAAATAGGCGCAGCATTAACATTACGAAGGATCAGCAAACAAATTTACATATTAGAAAAAAATGTTTAGAAACACATCTAATGAAAGTCTCATGGTATCAACTGCCCCTTGCCCTCTGCAATCTGCCACGTAGCCTAAGAGATCTTACTTTTAATTTTTTTAATGTTTTAGATAATGTGCAGAGGGTGAGCTATTCCTAAATATTAGATGTAATTTTAAGTTATTGACTTTAGTATTAATTCACTTTGTACCATGTTTTTGACTAGATTTGTTTCATCCATTACTTTGGAGTAATCTCTCATAGCTTCCCAAACCTGTTTCTGCCAAGAGTAACTACTATGGAACTACAAGAAAGATAACTTGCCAAACTTAACTATGGACAGAAAATATGAAAGGTAGGATGATAGGGGACACGAGTTTTAGAAGGTATGAGCTCTAAGTGGTTTCAAATCATTTCACTGAATTTGGAGAGGACAATAGAGGAAAGAAAGTAAGCGTTAATAGTTTACATTTCGATTACTATACAACAGATCATTTGAAAAATTGAGTTAAAATTTCAAAAGTGACTTAAAATCATATTTGTTTTTCCTTTTGTTATTTTTTATATATTTTTAAATATCACATAGTGATGAAATAGAAAAATAGTCGTTTTGATTCAATCTGAAAAGCAAAGGTAACTGCAAAAAAGCAATGGAAAGATCTTGGAATCAATCTGAGACTTATCCAGTTATGACAGGGCTCTTGCTCGTTATTCACATAAAAGAAAGAGACGATGTTTAGAGCTTTAAGTAGGATTGTTCTGCTATCAATATGAGGCTGCTGTTGGTCACATTAAATCACACTATTTCTTAACATTGCTTTGATTAACAAGTCAGCTTTTTATATGAAAGCCTCATGCGTCTAAGTTGCAAATTGTGCTGCTTCTACTATGAGTCATGGTGAATGAAAACACAGCAATATTTCAACGTATCAGAATTTCCCAAAGGGTGTTCTTTAGAACACAGTTCCTTGCAGTGTTACTAGGTGTTACTCAAAAAAGTTTCTGTGGTCAAATTAATCTGGAAAACACTGGGCTGACAGTAGATATTTGTTGTGTTTTTCTCTGCCCCGCAAGACATTAAATTAGAGCCTTTGACGAGCTCATGTTCACTAACTTTCTAAGATGGTATGTGTTCTCCAAACTTATTTGATCCTGGAACCCTATATTTAGAAGAGTATCTTTGGAACTTGTATTCTTTGGAACACACTTTGGGAAACACTGGATTCTATTATTTCTACAGCTAACTAGCTCAAAAGTCTAGGTATCAATGATTTAGTCCAGAGGCGATTAAACAGGTGTGGTATCTAACAGTCATGTCATTTCTCCAGAGCTGGATGACGAATGCTGGTGTGACATGCTAAGGCAATTTTGAGGGACAATTAAGGGATGAACAGTCCAGTGGTGGGTCAAAAGGAGGAAAAAAGAATTTTTGAAATCATTGGAAAAGTTTTATACAAAGTATATATTCCTATACTTTCAAATATACAATGATATGGTGCCTTTTTAAAACACAGACCTTTCACTGACACAGTTGCAAGAGAGATCTGGCAACAACCTTAGAGAAAAAAAAATCAGGAAAATCAAGATACATCTGGCAAAGGAAAAAGTGGAATCAAGTTCCTAGAATCCAATAGTAGAATCAATTTCCTAGAATCATTTCCGATTAGATTGAAATGATGATGCCATCACTCTCATGCAATCGTGTTTACCATTTACCCAAAATGATGTAATAATTACACTTGTATGAAATAAGGCCTGTTCTAAATTATTCAGCTTGCATCCTTCACTATAACACTCTCTGTATAATACTCTTAATGACACATACAAGATTCAAGAAGGCAATACCTCAATCCACAGCAGGGAATAAAATGCAGCCACTGGTTACCAGTAATATGTACATATGCACACAGATATGTCACAATATAACAGCGATTCAAAGCTAATTGCCTTGGGGCAAGTTGGTCATATAAAATAAATGCAGATCTTGGGTACAGTTTTGGAGCTTTCTATGTAAGTATTGTTTATTCCTATGATGAAAGAATTGCAAATACAATTAATTAAAAAATTTTTTCCCTAGCTGCCCCTCCCACAACCCATGTTAAGAGTACAAATTGCCAGTGGAGCTGCAGCAGAGCACTGCATTAGTGGAGACCTGGGCTTGGCATTCTGCTGGGGTCCCATAAGCACATGTTCATTCCCATCTTAACTTCTAAAAGACTGTAATACCATCCCAAAATTTGGCACCAAAGGGACTATTGGCAATTTGAACTCGAGCTAGCTAGGGAGTCTAGGAAGCCTTGGGTGACAATTCCAAAGCTTTGGCAGTGCAGCTTAGGGAAGCTTCACATGCAAACATCTCAAATCAATTTCCCTAATGGCTAAATTCAGCATTCCTGGGTCCCTGGGGAGCAGCCAGTGTGCCACAGGGCACCCCAGGAGTGATATCTACAAATCCCCAACAGCTGGAAAAGGGCTAGGGGGAGAGAGGTCCAGGAGGAAGGGAACAAAATATTCTGATTTTAGATACAACTATCATAACTATTAATGTAACTGTTACAGTTTTGCCTAGAACTTGTATCTTTTGAAAATCTACAAGCCACAGTAGGGGGGAAAGAGGCAGTAAAGGGAGTAGGATATATACACTCGATTTGATTAACGTCAGAAATGAAATAATTGTACAAAGCAAAATTTAGAAGATGCCTTGTGAACCTCTGTTAGAAAGTTTGTAATTCGTGCACCCAGCACCATCTATTAAGAAATTTTGCAGGACCCATAAACACTGATTTACTAATTTAGTAGCTTTTCTTTTTCATCTTTATCAAAACACTGCTGCTTTCATTTTAGACAATAAGAATAACTGGAATTAAAAAATGTCTTTTCCTTGCTATTATACACTTTTGTGCTACATTAAAAATAAAGAAAGTTGGCCATGGGCTGTAAAGTGCTGACACCATTTATACTGATTTCAGTTCGATGGTGAGTGGGGACAACTCTCAGGCATCAGAACGTCCTGAATCTCCAAGCAAACTCAGCCGCCTGGCCTGGCCGTCTCAGCACTGCTCACAGCCAGCATTTGTTTTCCACATTCCCTTCCCCTTCCCCACCCCAAATATTGATACACGCAGCCACATATTCAGTGTCTTTCCATAGGCAAATGCTTAAATCTCAAATGGTAGATATTTTGTACTAGAAGATTCTATGGCTAAAAAACAATAACCAAGGTTCTAACTGTAACACTGGGACATACAGTATACAAAAGTAAGCAAATCTCATGGGAAACCATTAGTAATTCTCGGTGCAGTCAAAGAACAGTAAGTGCTTGGAAGAATCAAGACAGATTGCAGCCCTCTGCAACCACAAGGGAATCTCTTCACTCTAAGTTCTCTCCTGGACACTGCTTTGGAAAAGCTCTACAACAGCAGGAGTGGGGAGGGCAGGCCTCCATGGGGAGGAGGTGGCGGGTGAATGAGGACTATAGGAAGCTGTAACCACAAATGCACACAGGGAAAGAACAAAACCAGGTGGATACAGAGGGGTGGGAGGCAACGAAAGTTTTGTTTGATTGTTTGAGTCATGCAGTCAGGCAAAGAGAGTCATATAAAATAAATGCAGGTCTTGGGAAGTATTTTATAAATTAATTTTCTCTAAATTAACTTATAAAATCCAGTGTTTGGAGAAATGATACATTAGTGATACAGGAAATGGAGAGCAGCAAGCCAGGCCCCAAAATAATACTGGCCCACTTGTCAATACGGGTTCATGCTTGAATTCTCGACTTGCTGTGTTGCCATTGCCGGGTCCCTCTGTTGCCTTCCCTGCAGGCCACAAAGGGCGGTTTGTGTTTGCCTGGGGAAAGCTACTTGATGTGGATGGATATTTGCAACCAAATGATAAAGGCTGCTGCCTTTCCATTGTCAAGGAGAAGCCCGTCCAAGTAGTTTCCCACCAAATTCCAAGCTGCAGTAGCTGTGAACTCTGTACCTGACTTCAAGGAACACACATGCTGTGTGTGCTTCTAGGCTGCTGCTTCTCAGAACACTGCCTGAAACACACTTTGCACTAGGAAAGGGGCAAGGAAAAACACACAAAAGTGACAGCTGGAGCTCAGTGAACACTCCTACCTCAATACAAACAGCTTACCTGCCAGGGAAGACTGTGACTCATTCAGTATCGTTTCCTTCATCTGCCATTGAAAATGGAAGGAAACATTTTGGCTTGCTTTTGTCATTTCCCCTAACATGGTTTCTTGGTCATGTAAGATGAAAAATCATGGTGTCTTTTGGTGAATTTAACAGCTGCCTTTTACATACGGTAAAGACTAAGCAAAAGATTTCGATCATGCATGATTAGGATAAATGCACAAAGCCTGGTCAGGTGGTATATAAAGTCTGTTTAACTAATAAAGGAAGCAAGGGAAAAGGGTCATTTCTGCTGTGCAGGCAGCTGCCACTGGTCTCCCATCCTTTCTGCTTCTCTCAGTCTCCAAGAGCAGCCAAAATAAAAGCCATTCCAAATCTGCTTCCAAGCTGCCTCTGAGCAGAAAACATGGGCTCAGAAGGACAAAGTATTCTTAGGACAGCTCTGTCTCTTGGCAGAGGGCATTGTCACGTCAGCTCCTGACCACTCACAGGTGACACAGTGGCCTGTCTCCTGCAGCACTGGGAGGCCTGTCCTGTCTACTGTTGCAAAGAGAGGACATAACAGCTGATGCCTGGAGGACCCTGAACAGGATCTTGAAAAGAATCCTGAGGGAGACCAAATGGCACAGATGCTATTCATTTCATATACATGAATCTACAGTTATTTATTTATATGTTTTGGACACTGAATGAAAGAGTTGGGAAAACATAAAGAAACCATTTTCCAGCTTCTTAACTACATTGGCCAAGGGCACCCTCAGTTCATCACTGATTATAGACCTAAGACCACCAGGGAGGGGGGATCCCATGTCTGGGATGGATGATCCTAATTACAACTCCCACACTTTTCACTAAATTAAGAGACCAGTGTGTTGAAAGTCCTTTAGTCTAAGGCAGCTGAGACCCCTGAAGGGTTCACTGCTCTTCCGTTTTGCTGCTATTCCTGAACTTCACCACCATGACTGTTATATTGTCAGGGCAGCCTCTGTAAAATGACTGTAAAACTATGCTCTTGGCCCCAAAGTGAGGTTCATCCAAGCGCTCCTTGATGAATCGAACTGCTTCTTCATTGCTGAAAGCATCCCAGAGGCCATCTGATGCCAAGATCATGAACTCAGGCTGAAGCTTGTCCAGGTCAAAGGTCAGGATGTCTGGGTCTGGGATGACCACATTGAGATTTTTCAGCGGATAATCCCCCAGGGACCGAGACATGGCCAGGATTCCCTGGACCCTCCAAGAGCCATTGAAACTGATGAAACCACCTAGAAAGACAGGATAAGCCCATTAGTTTAACCAGCTGATGTCTCACATACCTGGGATAGTCTAGGTGTGTGTGCGCAACAGGGTGACTTCATATGAGCTGGGCCGTGGGCACTCCTTTTAACCCCATCACTCCTGGGACCTGCTGCATGGCATAACTCTACCACTTGATCTTCATACCCTCATCCTGGCATCTTGAAGAACTTCAAGAATATATCAAGAGGAGTACTGAAGGTAGGGATACAATCGGGGGAGGGCATTGGTTTTAACACCATGGTGGCTCAGTGATTGACAGTAAAGAACATGAGGGTAGGGATTCGAGGAGAGTGGCAAAGGAATGCTGAAAGGCAGGTGAACAGGCACCAGGACACTACTGGTATACATCATTTGGTCTGAGGCCACCCTTAAATGTGCCTATACAGATCTCAAAACAGCTCTCTCCCCCTAAATAGGATCAAGATTAAGAAAAAGCACATACTAGTGCAGTCATTAAAGGCTCAGGTCAGATTACTTGGATTTAATTCCTGGCTCTGTCTCTTCTAGCCATGTTCTACTTTGGATGAGGAACTCTTTCTCTGATCCTCAGTCTCCCTGGCTACAAAATAGAGACAGTATCTATTTCATTGGGTTGATGAGAAATAAAGGTCTTATTCCACAGAAGTCATCTGGCATTGTCCCTGAACATATTATGCACTTAATAATTGTATCTATTATTTTTGTCTTCATTCACATATTCATCAGATATTTACTGAATATCTACTCCATACAAGACAATGTGCAGGATATGAAGTTATACAAGATCCAGACCTTCCCTTAAAAAAGTAGCCAGCCTGGCAGGAGAATTAAGTCACAAATATTAAATACTATAAGCACGAAGTGGTATCTTTTCAGGAGGAGACCAGTGTCTGCTAAATGCTATAGGCAGATGGAGAAGGGAGGGGTGATTTCCAGTCCTGATGATGAGGGAGGAGTGAACATTAAAGGTGGACTTTGAGCGATGGGTAAAACATCTATGAGCAGGATCTATAGGAGAACATTCCAGGAAGTATGGTCTGGTAGGCAAGAGCATAAAACCCAGTTTTGGGTTTCAATCCTGGTCTCACTATTCCCTAGCTGTGTGTGCTTGGGCACATAAGTCTCTTTGAAGTTCCAGTTTGTTGGCCACAAAATGAGAATATCAGCCTTTTAGGCACAGAGAAATTGTGTAAAGTGCTGGGCTTTGCTCCTAGCACAGGGTGAGCACACAATAAATGACAGGTAATGTTGTTGGAAACAGTATAAGGAGTGGCCACAGAAAGACCAACATGTATTTGGCCCAGACTGGCTGGACCTTACTGTCATGCTAAGCAGGAGGGGGAAAGATGTCCTGAAAAGAGGCTGAGGCCAGAGAAAACACACATAAAGATGGTAAAACCAGCTGGGCACAGTGGCTCATGCCCGTAATCTCAGCACTTTGGGAAGTAGAGGGGGTGGATCATGAGGTCAAGAGATGGAGACCATCTTAGCCAACAGGGTGAAACCCAATATCTATTAAAAATATAAAAATTAGCTGGGTGTGGTGGCATGCGCCTTTAATCCCAGGTACTTGGGAGGCTAAGGCAAGAGAATTGCTTGAACTGGGACTTGGGAGGCAGAGGTTGCAGTGAGCTGAGATTATGCCCCTACACGCCAGCCTGGTGACAGAGTGAGGTCTCAAAAAAAATAAGATGGTAAAACCAATCACTGTTTCTTAAGCCTTGCTATAAAATACACCCTTGATCAAATTATGTAAAAGAATAGAGGTTAGATTAACCTCCTTAGAGATGGTGTCCAAATTTGCTTCTATAAAGAATCAATGTAGGGTACAGGTGTGGGTAGTGGGTATGGCAGGGAAGAAGAGGAAGGATAAAATGGTCATGACAATTCGGAAGACAGCACTGAATGGTAAGATGACATTTTCATGTGTATTGTGTAACATCCTTGCCTGTGCTGATGCAAGAGTAGGCTAACTGTTTCTTAATTCACAGTGGACTCTTACAGAGAGATGGTGTCTTTATAGGTAGGAAGCAAGAGAACTTTGCTCCTACTGCCTGGAGGTCATCAAAGCTTGATAGATGCTCCTAAAATATCCTTTGTTCCATCCCACCAACAGAAAACCTGACCAATGCTTTCCTTAAAAATTATTTTGCAACTCAAGCAGTCACGGAAGCAGGAGGTTGTAATAAAATTCAACACATTTTGACTTAACAGTATGGTTCCCTACTCTAAAAATTCAAATGTCGATCAGGTTCATTCAATTCATTCATTGGGCAGAAACTGACTATAGAGATAGACAGTCAATGTGCAGAGTAACCCAGACAGCAGGGGCCCATCCTAGTGAGAGGTTAGTGTACACAAGCACCCAACTTGCTCCCCTCTGACTGCTGGCCAGCTGCCTGGCACATCACAAAGAGCATACATCCTCCAGCTGTCAGTCTGAGGAGTGAAAGAATTCTTGCCTTCCATAGGTATAAAGGTATCCTCTGAAATCGAATTATGAAAATGTAATAATCAACTGACATCCTTCGAGTCTTTGTCCAAACGTCACTCTACCAAGGTCTACACAGGCCACACTACTTAAAACTGCAACTCCCTGAATGGGCGCAGTGACTCACACCTGTAATCCCAGCACTCTGGGAGGCTGAGCTGGGAGAATCACAAGGTCAGCAGATCAAGACCATCCTGGCCAACATGGTGAAACCCCGTCTTTACTAAAAATACAAAACTTAGCTGCGTGTGGTAGCACATGCCTGTAATCTCAGCTACTCTGGAGGCTGAAGCAGAAGAATAGCTTGAACCCAGGAGGTGGAGGTTGCACTGAGCCAAGATCACACCACTGCATTCCAGCCTGGTGACAGAGTGAGACTCAGCCTCAAAACACAAAACAAAAAATGAACAAAACATCCTGCAACTCCCCGACACTCCCTCCCCTTTCCTGCTTCATCTTTCCATAGCAGTTATCACCTTCTAATACACTATAAGACTTACTTATTTTTACTCATTTTTTTTGTTAATGTCTATTTCCTCTATTCCCCACCCCCATGCCAATTTCAGAATGTAAGTTTCATGAAACAGCAAGCCCATTGGGAATGGGCTTTGTTTTATCCCCAGCTCCTAGAATATTGAATAAACAGATGAATGAATGAATAAGGGATCCCTCTACCCATAACCTTGCTCTGAAATATTTACTTACACTAGGCACTAAGCCAGATGCTCAAGGTGTAGAGATGAACAAAACCAAGTTCCTGCCTTTAAAGAGATGACAGGAAGGCAGGACAGATAGGAGAGCCAGGTATGTTCATGTATTGTAAGAAGTGACCCAAGATGTCCACATAGGATGCTGGGGAAAGACAAAGGAGTATTCACTCCAGACTGGGAAGGCCCTTGTCACAGTGTGACACAAAAAGCTTCCAAAAAAATACCTTAAACTGAATCTTATGGGACAAGTAATTGTCACTTAGAATAGCACTTGCAAAGGCACAGAGGTCTTTTGAGGAATGGTTAGTAGTTTGGCATGGCTCTGAGGGAAGCAGTGTATAGCAACAGGCTAGAGAAAGGTGAGGCCCAGGGGCCCAAAGATCTTATTAGCCTTTAAACTGGAAATGGGCTTTTGAGTTCTTTTGGAATCTTTGGCTATGAAGAAGGGCAGATTTAGTGGCCATTTATTTGATAGGCAATATTACAAAGTCAATCTCAGTTACCTCAGTAGCAGCCTCTGTATAGATCTAAAACAGGGTAACTGAACATTTTATCCAGGAACCTTCCAAGCAAGCTGCCTTGTTCACCAGCAAGACAGTAGACATTTCTTGGAGATGTTCACAAGCTCACCTGCTCTCTTTATCCTTTTTCGTTCCTTCAATTGGTAAGGCTTGTGATCATGAGACAAAGGAATAGCATTCCCATCTTTGTCACACAGGACCCCGCGTGAGTCACCCACGTTGGCCACTGTGAGGTCTTTATCTGACAGCAGAGCAATCAAACATGTTGTGCCTAAAAAATAGAAGACAGACAACGTGGGAGGTCAGCAATGCATTCAGATTCCACTGCCTCTTGTGGTAACTGATTCTTCAGTCATTAAAATTGCTTCTGCTGGGTGAGAATCTGACTCCAGTCACTCTGGGAATGATAGCTGTTCACTTCGACAACAATGATCAAATCTGACAGTCAATTTTCTTAACCATGTTAGAGTATCACTAAAATAGGCTAGGATAACATTATAATTTCCCTAAATCATTTTGTCTCTGCTACTCTTAATTTAAACACATATCACATTTAAAAGGATTAGGAGAGAAACAAAATCAGTTTGACGTTTCAGTCAGTTGATACACATTTTAGGCTTCTGCTTGGTGCTGAGTTTCTGTGAAGTCCCAGTTGGAAATGGGAATAATGGGGGGTGTGCTGGGCTTCTCATTTCTAGGAGGGTTTAGAAATGCCAATTGCACTCCAGCCTGGGTAACATGAGTGAAACTCCGTCTCAAAAAAAAAAAAAAAAAAAAAGAAATGCCAATAGCTGAATCCTGTGGAACGTGAGAAGCTGCTGATGTCAGGACAGGTTGAGCTTGTATATTCGGAGTCTGACAACAAAGACTGGTGGCCAGAAACAGGTCAGCTCCAGGGTGCGATGGAGGCAGAACATAAAGACAGAAGCAGAAAAAGCTCTGGTGATGACAGAACTGAGGCCTAGGGAGAGGGTGGTCCGAGTCAGAAGCAAGCAAGACTGAAGACCTGCTTGCCTAAAGCACACACAAGACAAGAGGGACAAACTTTCCTCAAATCCTTTTTAAAATGGGAATGGATAAAAGCACACAGAGTTGAACAGTCTGGTCTAGTTGCAGCCTTCTCTGTCCAGCTCCTTTCTGTTCACCTCTTCTTTTTTGACAGTGCCACTCAATATGCAAACACCTGCTGAAATGCACAACCTGTTCAGCTCTTGCCTCAAACATATCTCCCTTGTTAAAATTATGCATTAATTAGTCTTCATTAACATTTCATTCCTCGTTAAGGTCATATTCCATAACAAAAATGTAAACTATCTAAATTGTGCTTAAGTTTTCATGGAACAACAAAAAATACTAATTTTTTTCCTTTTTTTAAGAGACTGGGTCTTGCTCTGTGATCTAGGCTAGAGAGCAATGGTGTCATCATAGCTTACTGAAACCTCAAATTCCTTGGCCTAAGCAATTACCCCACCTCAGCCTCTGGAGTAGCTGGGACTACAAGTACATGCCGTGGTGCTAGCTTGAAAACAAACACTAAATTATTATAATTTTTTTTAAATTTTACTTTAAGTTCAGGGAGCCATGTGCAGAATGTGCAGGTTTGTTACACAGGAATACACGTGCCATGGTGGTTTGCTGCACCCATCAACCTGTCATCTAGGTTTTAAGCCCCGCATGCATTAGGTATTTGTCTTAATGCTCCCTCCCCTTGCTCTACACTTCCAACATGCCCCAGTGTGTGATGTTCCCCACCCTGTGCCCATATGTTCCCATTGTTCAGCTCCCACTTATGAGTGAGAACATGTGGTGTTTGGTTTTCTGTTCCTGTGTTAGTTTGCTGAGAATGATGGCTTCCGGGTTCATCCATGTTCCTGCAAAGGACAACTCTTTCATTCTTTTTTATGGTGTAGATGTGCCACATTTTCTTTATCCAGTCTATCACTGATAGGCATTTGGGTTAGTTCCAAGTCTTTACTTGCAATAGTGCTGCAATAAACATAAATGTGTATGTGTCTTTATAGTAGAATGATTTATAATCCTTTGGGTATATACCCAGTAATAGGAATGCTGGGTCAAATAGTATTTCTGGTTCTAGATCCTTGAGGACTCACTACACTGTCTTCCACAATGGTTGAACTAATTTACGCTCCAAGCAACAGAAAATAAACACTGAATTCTTAAATAGACATAAAGAATAAATATAGGTTGATATTAAGAGCAGAGAGATTAAAATAATTATCAGAATCAGTTATTATAATTCTGCTTAAAATTCCATTCTTAAGCTTATTTAACTAAAAATGCCTTGATCAGGTATGGAAACACATGAAATGTTGGTTAACGCAGGATTTCTAATACAAAAGACTTTGGGGAAAAAGGCTAATCTTATGGATTATCAAAGCAATTTTTAAAAGCAATAAGAATGAAAATGTAAGCAAAAGCACAATCCAAACAATTAGAAATTGTTGTTCTCAGTTTTTGATATTGTTTTTTCAATATTGGAAACGGAAATTTTGGTCTTCAACGTATCCTTACTTTGTCTTCAAGTATCTGATTGAGTTAAATTGTCCCACACAGTCATGGCGTAAATTCTGCTATAAGGCACGTTCTTAGAGTTTGAAAGGTAAAATAGAAAGGTTGCTTCATGGGATATTACATGGCTTGTAGGCATTACTTCAGCATCTCTCTTGGAGTCCTCTCTCTATAGGACCCTCTTCCCTTCTCACACTGTGCTTTCTGGGCGAGCATGTCACTGACCTTTGCTTCCACACAATCTAAGTCTATGCAGCTAGCCTGGCTGACACTCCTGAGGTCTACACCAACTGCCTAGTAGGTGTTTCTATTTGCCTATACTCCAGGGGATCCAAGGAAAGGCTTCAGGGCCTCCATGAGAGGGAAGGGAAGGAATCCACCCGGCTGAGTTAAAGGCTCCTTCCCTAGCTGCATTTCAACTAGGACAGCTCTACATCCACCTGTTAACAGCTAACAAGTGAGCTGCCATGCAAGATTTCTTTTTCAAAAAGGGACAAGGAGTCACTCCTGTAGCCAGAAAAAAAAATTAAAATTTAGTTCCATATTTGATTAAGAATCACTGAAGGGTTTTAAGCAGGATAGTGACACAATGAGATTCATGTTTTAAAAGATGATTCCAGGGGCAAGGTAGAAGACAGATAAATTGGGAGCAGTGAGAACAGTTAACGAGGGTCTGAATTAATGTAGTAAATATAGGGATAAAGGATAGGTGATGGGTTCTTATTTTTTATTTTGTAGAGATGGATTCTCAGTATATTGCCCAGACTGGTTTTGAACTCCTTGCCTCAAGTGATCCTCCTGCTGGCCTTCTACAGGGCTGGGACTACAGTCGTGGGCCACTTTGCCCAGCTCCTGTGACAAGTTTTTAAAAGCCAGAATAGACCAGTTATAGAAATTGAGAAGAATAAAAGATAAGGGAAGAAGTTTAGTATAATACCCTTAGATCTAGATGGGAGAAACTGGGCATTCCATGGACAAGGACTCAAGAAAATGTCTGCTGGGGGCTTCTGAGAAAGGCTTTCTTTTCCACTAAAAGAAGCACAGAGCAGGCAATGACTGTTTATTTGGCCTAGTGTTAGCCTATGTGTTTCCCAGAAGTGTGGCAGCCATCTTCCAGCTATGAAGGGATATCCCTTAGGGTCATGAGTGCAGTGAGTGCAGGATGGTAGAGCACAGAGGTAAACAGGAACGAGCCTGAGTCCCAGAGAATATCAGGGAACTGCTAAGCCAGCCTAGAACTGCCCCGTCCTTGTTCTATGAGGCAATAAATGGCTTTCTTATTTGAGACTTTTTGAGTTGAATTTTTTGTTGTTGTTCCTTGTAATATCTGGATTTGATGAGAGATTTAGAGTGTGGCTGTTTAGCTACACAGTTGTCCTTTGGTATCTGCTGGGGATTGGTTTTAGCATCTGCTACTAATACCAAAATCCATGGATGGCCAAGTCCCTTATATAAAATGGCTTAGTATTTGCATATAATCTATATACATCTTCTTGTATACTTTAAATCATCATAGATTACTTTTAATACCTCACACAATGTAAATGCTATGTAAATAGTTGTTATATTGTTTTTTAATTTATATTATTTTTATTGCTTTAAAAATATTTTTGATCTGTGGTTGGTTGAATCCACAATGTAGACCCCATGGACATGAAGGGCCAACTGTACTCACATGCTATTGAACATACTTAAGATTTATGATCGGACCTTTTCAAAAACAAATCCTACTGTTTCTGTGGGTAAATTAAGATCTAGCTAATGGTGAAGTTTTCAGGAATATACTGCCTATGTTAGCAACAGAATCTTAGACCTGGCCAAAATGGGTGAGCCCCAGATGGCAGGGTTAAGAGTTATAGGTAGTATTCTGAATTACTGAAATGTCTCCATTCCCCTTTCTACAGAGGAAACCTGCCCCTATCCTGAGTGAGGTCTGTGTGATTGTGGAGACATAATATGTGCTAAGCAATGCTGAGCACTGCGGGGGAGGCTCAAGAATGATCTGAAACAAACCAGGACACCATAACCAACGTATTGTTTGGGCTTTGCAGTTTTAGCTCAGGATTATAACAGACAGCTTACAATCTAATCTTACTTGACAGAACAAACAGCTTGTTGCTAGGAAACTCCAGAAAAAAAACATCATACCAAAGATAAAATGAAAAAAATCATCTTCTTTTTAATGCTTGAGACAAAACACTTGCAGATTCTGGCTATTAATTCTGAGATAAAATATTTATTCCATCATAGCACTATATTTATCAAAAATACCAGGGCCTGACAATGTTACTTAATTCTGAACCTCAGGATATTTCTTTTTTTTTTTTTTTTTTTTTGAGATGGAGTTTCACTCTTGTTATCCAGGCTGGAGGAGATATTTCTATATTAACAATTTAATCTAGATAATAACTTAATTCCAAATCTGAAAGAGACCTTGGAAATTTAACCTAATAACCTTATCTCACAGGTTAAAAAAATCCCAAAAAGTTAAAAAAAAAAAAAAAAAAAGTGAATTCACATGGACTAGACTTCAATGTCCTAGCTAAATGGGGTTTGGCAAGTTATTTGACTTTTTTTTTTTTTGCATTTTTTTTCCCCATTTATTTATTTTATTGCATTTTAGGTTTTGGGGTACATGTGAAGAACATGCAAGATTGTTGCATAGGTACATATACGGCAGTATGATTTGCTGCCTTCCTCCCCATCACCTACATCTGGCATCTCTCCCCTTGCTATCTCTTC